ACATCCCTCCTCAGACCCGTAGGACCACAGGGTAGTGTGCCACCCAGAGGCGAGCTGACTGCATTGCAGGGCGGGCAGCTGGGACCAGGGGTCATGGTCACATAAAGCCAGGAAGCAGCAAGCCCTCAGCAGGCACGTGGCGCACAGTAGGTCCTCCATCAACTCCTGCAAGCCACCCACCACGATACGGTCCTTTCCTTGCCCTGGAGGCGGCCCTGCCCTAAAGCCCACCACCCTCTGCTCTCCAGCGGGGCCTCTGCTGGGCCACACAGCCCACCAGCTCTTCTCACTCCTCCCCCATCCCGCACCCGCCTCCTACCTGCTCTGTGCGGTCCAGCCCAGCATCCCCGAGGTGATGGCTGCGATGGAGGTGAGGCTGGCAGCCAGCACGAAGGTGGCGGCCTTGGGCAGCTGGCCTGGGAGGGAGGCAGGTAGGGCCAGGGTCGGCATGGCTGCTTCTGGATGCCCTGCCCTGCCCGTGGCACCTCCCACCCACCTACCCAGCAGTGCCAGCTGCCCTCTGGAAACCAGGGGCCCTCTCACCTGGGGGCACCAGCGTGAGGGGGCTGCTCTGGACACCGGCGCCATTTTGGGCCTGGCACTGCAGCCAGGCCGGTGTCTGGGTCAGCGGGAAGGAGAAGTTGGCGGGCTGCCCGTACGGCGGCGTCTGCCGCATGTGGACGTGCCCGTCCTTCCCGACCAGGCTGTAGGTGATGGGTGGGCTGCCCGAGGCTGCCTGGCAGGACATCTCCAACCTTGGGCCTGCCCCTCTGTCCAGCAGGGTGAAGTCAGTTTGCAGCTGGGACACGGGCTCTATTGGGGGGTGGGGGTGGAAAGGAAGCACAGGCATGGCTGGGAGACTCCAGCACCCTCTCCCCAGCAAGTGCCCCTGTTCCCAAATAATCAGCTGGAGGCCTGACTGTGATTGCGCCTCCTCCAGGCAGCCGTCTGGATTACTCCCTCTGCCTTGTGTCTGGGCTTCTACCCTACTGGCAGTGTGTACCTCACAATTTCTCATTCGGTGTTAGTTTCATGTAGTATATTCTGGGTTGCCAGACTTAGCAAACAAATGCAGGACGCCCAGTTAAATTTGAATTTCATGGAAACGATGAATAATTTTTTTTTTAAATCTTCATCCGAGGATCCTTTTTCCATTGATT